CCTCTTCCGGATGTCTCAGTTACTTCCCTTTAATTCAACTCTCCATGTTTTGGTTGCCCCCTGCCGTGGCATGGCATTGAACTCACAACTCTCTGGGTTTGGTCACTGCACCTAACCAACATCTTTATGCACTGGACCATGTGTCCTTGAGAAAAATCTATCCGGTGGACAAAGGGTTCGTTTCGAAATTCCAATCACCCGAAGAAGTCCAGAGCGTACAAATGGCCGAAACGTGAATATCGCAGTGAAAATGAGAATAACAGCCCGAATAATATAAATAATACCTCATCCCAGAGATATAGACATAGTATTTGTACGTTTATAACAATCCGGCAATAGTGACAAGAATTAAGATAAAAAAAAAACAAAAAAAAAACATTAATTTTTTTATCTTTCGGAAAGAACCCGGTGTTAATTATAAAAAAATTAAAATAAGAACCTGATACAGTATTTACATTAGTCGGACTATTGTCCTCATCTTTGTCGCCATATTTGTCACAACGTTTCGGCCGTTGTACGCTCCGGCCTTCTTCAGGTGGTTGGAATTTCGAACTGAACCCTTTATTTCGATCGCTGGGGTAGACTGTTCTAATTCCACGTGCCATGTTTGATGGATGTCAGTTATCAGTTATCTCCTGCTAATTTTCCCTCTGAAAGTTCTCCACTGCCTTAACCAGGAATTGAACTCACCTTCTTTGGGTCTGTCACTGGATCTAACCTTGAGGACATCTGGGTATGAACTTCTGAGTATTATAAACCTAATGTTTTCAGCATCATTTTTACCAGTGCTCATATTGCAATTTTTGCTGTTATCAATGCATGTCTTTACCAGAGTTCATATTGCAACTTTGTTATCATTGCTTTTCTCTGACACTTCTTATTACTGGTTCCCCATATTTGGTCGGCTTTATTTTTGTGGCCTATGATTCTTAAGTTTACAGATTTTCCAATTTCCTTCTCTCCATATGTGGTCAGCCACGCCTGATTTTTCTACTTCCCCTCGCGTTACAGCTTTCTGGTGTTCTTGAAGCCTTACCTTGAGGGGGCGGCCGTCTCTCCTTTATATTCCATTCCGCAGCTGCATGGGATAGCGTACACACAGTCTTTAGTCATGTTCCTCTCTATGGACCTCACTCGTGTGAACTGTTGTCACGCTTTTGAAGGTTGTCCTGACCCGCAGATTTTTTGTATTTTTTCGATACAGTTCACAAATGGAGAAAGAGACTGTTTTCTGAGTGTTGTTGTCCTCCTCCTCCTCCTCTTGTACCCGCCTATCCCAGTTTTTTTTTGGGCTGCTGCCATTCCTGGATTGTAGGGTACTACTTATACTGATCTCTGGATCGCCAACAGACGATCCTTCTTTACGCTGTATGGATGGTGGGAGTTGAAATTGGGTTCCGGTGAATGTTGGTTTAGGTATACATTCTCTGTTCGAGATATTAGTACATCCAGGAATGAGAGTGAGTTGTTACTCTCTTTCTCCATTGTGAACCACATGGTCCAGAAACTTCTTCCTGACCAGAGTATGAAAGTGTCATCTACGTACCGTAACCATATAGTTGGCTTTAGCGATATAGACTCTAATGCCATTTCTCTAACGCCGTTGGATGAAACATCGAGTACATGCTCATATCTCCCAGACGCTCGAGGATCTCTTCAACAGAATTACCAATGAAGAAGACCAGAGAAGGATCCAAAATGACCTGGATAAATCCTTCAGACATGAATTTGATGTAGTCAAGGCTCGCCAAGTGCAAAATTAAATAGATTGAAAGATAAATAGTCATTGAAAGTCGAGCAAACTGAGGTCCATCACCCACCAGTTAAAGCAACATCAGCCAATATCAGCTGAGTGCCTCTGAGGGAGTCAGTATTGAATAAGGGTCTCAACCATACAACCATCAGGCGGGTGCCATACTTGGACATCATTGCCAGAGTAGAGGAGGTGGCCTTGAACATCCCTCAGGCTCAGGCGGATGAAATGAGATGGAAAGTGAGACAGGCCTTGAGAGAGCCAAGCTGCCCAGGTCTAACATAACAAAACTGGAGAGACTGGCGATTGAATCACTACAGAGGAATGAGAACATCATCGCATACTACCGGCTGACAAAGGTAATGCGACTGTAGTGATGGACAAACCGGAGAGAAACGTTAGAAAGATCCTACAATGAAAACGAAACGAATCCTAATCAAGAACAAGGATCACTTCGCACCCAAGACGTATAGGCAGTTATCGCAGCGTTACAGCAAGTTACCTCACATATGGTCAAGATTCAATTCCACTCAGGCCGATTGTTGTTAGTTGCCTCTGTGTGCCACCCTCTGAGTCGGTAGATATAATTGACCCATTGGCAGTCAAACCCCACTTCGTGGAAAGATGGTGAGGACGTGGTGAGTCTGTTCGGGTCTCAGTAGTCAAAGATAGGACTCTTCCCTAGGAGGATTCCAATAGATAATCTGATGGAGATGTTGACTTTCTGTACAAAACAACACCTTCGGAATGGGATCTCAATATATCGACAGGATGAGGACTTAGCAATGGGCTCGCCATTATCACCAGCAATGGCGAATATATACATGGAATAAAGAAATGGCATTAGAGTCTATATCGCTAAAGCCAACTATATGGTTACGGTACGTAGATGACACTTTCATACTCTGTCCATATAACATCAGTTCACAATGGACAACTCTTCAAAATATCTCGAACAGAGAATGACATCCGTATACCGTAAACCAACATTCACCGGACAGTACCTCATTTCAACTCCCACCATCCATACAGCGTAAAGAAGGGGATCGTCCGAGACCCATCGAGCAAAAAGTCCATAGAGAGGGTAACAGCAGCCCCATGGGATAGGCTAAAGACTGGAGGAGGAGGAGGACAACAACACTCAGAAAACAGTCTGCCCCTTATGCAGAGAAAATACAAAAAGATCTGCGGTCCATATAACATCAGGAATTCAAAAGCGTGACAACACTTCGCAGGTATCTCTCACGAGTGAGACCCTCCATAGAGAGAACATGACTAAAAGACTGTGTGTACGCTATCCCATGCAGCTGCGGAATGGAATATCAAGAACACCAGAAAGCTGTAACGTGAGGGGAAGTAGAAAAAATCAGGCGTGGCTGACCACATATGGAGAGAGAGGGAGATCACCGCCCCTGTGGGATCATGTTGAGATCATAGACAGGGAACACCATTGGAAAATTCGTAAACTTAAGGAATCAGCACATTTGCTAGGCCACAAAAATCTCCTGAGCCGACCAAGCATAGAAATAAATACAATATAGGGAACCAGTAATAAGGAGTGTCAGAGAAAAGCAATGATAACAAAGTTGCAATATGAACTCTGGTAAAGACATGCATTGATAACAGCAAAATTGCAATATGAGCACTGGTAAAATGATGCTGAAAACATTAGGTTTATAATACTCAGAAGTTCATACCCAGATGTCCTCAAGGACACATGGCACAGTGGATAAAGGCGTTGGTTAGATTCAGTGACAGACCCAAAGAAGGTGATTCCTGGTTAAGGCAGTGGAGAACTTTCAGAGCTAAAATTAGCAGGAGATAACTGATAACTGACATCCATCAAGCATGGCACGTGGAATTAGAACAGTCTAACCACCTGAAGAAGGCCGGAGCGTACAACGGCCGAAACGTTGTGACAAATATGGCGACAAAGATGAGGACAATAGTCCGACTAATGTAAATACTGTACATAATACCTCATCTCAGAAATATAGAAACTGATAAGCATCATGATTTACGAAGGGGGGTGGGAGAAAGAAAAACAGCATTTGAGCATTAGCTGAGGTACACAGAAATATTTACAGTGTGGATCGAACTCCTTCGTAATATATCTCGAGAAGCAAGCTTGTAAACAATTGCACGACACAAAGTGCCCAAAAGTCGAAATTTATCTAGATTGTTTTTTTTTGTTTTTTTAATGCAACATTATAGGTGTTATAAATAATCAAGAGTTGTCTCCCCTTGTTTTCTTATTTTCCTCTTCGAGAGAGAGAGAGCTATTTCTGTTTACTGCGAGTATAAAAGAACATTATGCACGAATCTTGGATTCTTAGTTGAATCAGGTTCTCTTAAAGCCTACACCTGTGTACTTTCCACATTACAACAGGTTTAATAAAAATACGGTAATAATCATAATAGTAAAAATCTGGCATTTATTTTAGGCTTCTAAAATAATGCAGTAATAATTATAGGATTCTAAAAATAAACAAGAGTAGTTATAAATTTTAAAATTAATTTCCGGTATTAATGGCAAGCTTGTAAAATAATGCGGTGTTAATTACAGGTTGCTAAAAAATGCAGTATTTTTCATAACATTTAAAATAAAAATCTGGTATTAATGTTAAGCTTCTAAAATAAAGCAGTAATAATTATACGTTTCTAAAAAAAAAAAACGATATTAATTACAGATTCTACAAGTAACACATTAACATCCACCGCTTCAAAACAGGTGCGGGGCATTAATTGATTTAGTGAGTCTATTCTAATAAAAAAAAAAAAATACAAGTATGGGTCACGGAGTGCAGATAATCTCTTTACGTTAGCATTAATCTTCGAGATTAGTTTTGTAGCCAATGCACCAAAGTGCGACACTGGTTTTTAGACTGAAATGAGCCGGAGACAAAGTTCAGCATATTGCGTATTTGGCGATTGAAAGCGGGGGGGGGGGTGAGAAGATGGAAAGAGAAGAGAGGTGGGGGAGGTAAGAGGAAAGAAAAACAGCGCAAATGTCTGTCTTTGTATCTTAGAGGATTTCTTCTTGGCGACTTTAGACTTTGAGATGTAACTGAACTGATTCAATCGGCTGGCCCTGGTCTACAGACAATTTCCGAACAGAGGTCAAAAATACACCGACCTGCAAAGCCAAAAATGCATTAACAAATTTGAAAGCAGCTAAAGCACAAGGAAGAAGAGACGGTAAAGAAAGAGAAATATTAACGTCCACGCGAACAGAATCCATAGAGACATGTCGATCTTTATTTTTCTTTATTTTGATCTGTGTATCTCGATATATTCTTTCTTTTATTTTTCTTTTTTTGTTTGTTTGTTAGTTTTTCTTTCTTTCTTTCTTTCTTTCTTTCTTTCTTTCTTTCTTTCTTTCTTTCTTTCTTTCTTTCTTTTGTTCTCTTCCTCTCAATATTTCGTTCTTCAGCCTGTCTGCCTTTGTTTATTTTTCCTTTCCTTCTCTTTCTTTCTTGGAATATCTTTCTGTTTTAACCTCTTTCTTTCTTTCTTTCTTTCTTTCTTTCTTTCTTTCTTTCTTTCTTTTGTTCTCTTCCTCTCAATATTTCGTTCTTCAGCCTGAACTAGTTACTCTCTTTGTCTTGGTTTCTTTTCATTCTCGCGCTTTTCTTCCTTTCCTTCTCTTTCTTTCTTGGGATATCTCTCTGTCTTAACCTCTTTCTTTCTTTCTTTCTTTCTTTCTTGAAATATTTCTCACCCTATTTTGATTTCTTTATTTCTTAGAAGATATTCTTTTCTCTCTTTCTTTCATTCTTTTTTTCTTTTCGTTTCTTTATTTCTTTAAATATTCTTCTCTCTGTTTTCACTTCGTTCTTTTTTTCTTTCTTTCTTTCTTTCTTTCTTTTCCGTGTTCTATTTCTCTCTCTTTCTTCTGCCACCCTCTATTTGTTTCTTTCTTTGATTATTTTTCTCTTTCTCTTAGTCCCTTTCTTCCTTTTCGCTCTCGATCTTTCTTGGAATATTTCCTTTTCTTAATCTTTCTTTGGGTCACATATAATTTAGAGTATGATTTATTAATTGCCTTTGGTGCCAGAATACGTCCCGTCAAAATTCTGATTTGCCCAGTTAAGATTCTTTCTTTGACAACATTTAATCTTTCTTTCTTTCTTTTTTCTTTCTTTCTTTCTTTCTTTCTTTCTTTCTTTCTTTAACCCTTCCCTAGGGTATTATGCATTGTACGTATACCCAAGCGAGATACATAATTCAAGACATACATTTGATGGTAAGTTCATGATTTATTAATTGACTTTTTACCGGATGTTTGCAATTGGCTCGTCGAATGATGTGGTCTACACAGTTATTTCACTCTTTCTTTGTCAACTTTACACATTTCGCATTCTTTCTTTTTTTTCCCATTAGGACCAAACACACATCTGGAGAATTATGTGTCGTTCGATTTATCTATATACTAGTATCATCCATAATTCAAGACATGTCGCTTCTGTACGCTTTTAGATTATCTATTCAGATATATTTTATTATATGTTCACACCGGAAATCTGCGATTGACTCGACCACTAGTGTGAGCCACATAGTTAAATTTCTTTATTTCCTTGAATGTTTCTCTCCATATATTGGTTTCTTTATATATAGAACTTTGAATATTTTATCATTGTCTTCGTTTCGATCTTTCCTTTCGTTCTTTCTTTCTTGGAATATATCTCAGTCTTGGTCTTTTTCGTTCTTTCTTTTTTTTTTTTGTTAATATTTCTCTGCATATTTTGGCTATTTTCTTTCTTTGTATATTTTTCTCGCTGTCTTCATTTCTGTCGTCTGTTTCGCTTTTTTTCTTTTTTGGAACATGTCTCTGTTTTTGATCTTTTTCTTTTTTTGTTTTTAAATAGTTCTCTCCGTATTTTGGTTACTTTATTTCTTTGAATATTTTTCTTGCTCCCTTCGTTTTTTTCTTTCTTTTCATTTATGCTCTCTTTCTTTTTCTGGAATATATCTCTTTCTTTCCTTCTTTGAATATTTTTCTCCCTGTTTTCGTTTCTTCCTTTTTCGTTGCATTACTTTCTCTCTCTATTTTTCTTTATTTAATATATCTCTTTCTTTCTCTTCCACTTCTTTCTTTGAATACTTATCTCCCTTTTATCGTTTCTTTCTTTCTTTATTTATTTCTTTCTTTATATTTCTTTTTTCATTTAATATAGCTTTCTTATTTCTATCTATCTATCTATCTATCTATCTATCTATCTATCTATCTATCTATCTATCTATCTATCTATTTTTCAAATCTATCTATTTATCTATCATCATCTATCTATCTATCTATCTATCTATCTATCTATCTATTTTCAAATCTATCTTTTTCTAATCTATCTATCTATCTATCTATCTATCTATCTATCTATCTATCTATCTATCTATCTGTGTATTTTTTCAAATCTATCTATCTATCTATCTATTTTTCAAATCTATCTATCTGTGTATTTTTCAAATCTATCTATCTATCTATCTATCTATCTATCTATCTATCTATCTATCTATCTATCTATCTATCTTTTCAAATGTATCTATCAATGGTTGTACAATGTGGAACTGATTATGGCACGGTGGTTGGCTGAGAGTAACTTAAACTTGACATTGCTCACCTTTGTAAACTATCCTATACCCGTAAGATCATGGATATTTACTCAAGCTGACTTGACCAGGTACAAGTTTAGAGGGTTAGGGTACTTGATCGTATTCATAGTAATAAAGGACTCTGGTGACAGAAGATTCTTTCATACCGAAAATCATAGCAAAGCCAACATATGATTTTTTTTCTTTTGTAATTAAATCGAGAACTTTTAACTTACCATTTCAGGGAATCACTTTACGGCTTCTCTTTGGAATATCTGATTTGCCAATGTCCTTATTCTTGCATCTGAGATCATTATTAAACAAAACCCACGACTCAGGGCACCTGAGACTGCATAAAGAGAGCTACGGATACATAGGGCCAATTCCGCTTGGAAAATAAAGTACTACTGACGTAGCTGGGTTGGAGTAACTTAGTCTTCACTTTACAGAACCAAACAATAGATAGATTTGAAAAATAGATAGATAGATAGATAGATAGATAGATAGATAGATAGATAGATAGATAGATAGATAGAAATAAGAAAGCTATATTAAATGAAAAAAGAAATACGGAGAGAAAGATATAGAAAGAAAAAAAAAGAAAGAAAGAAAGAAAGGAAGGAAGGAAGAAAGAAAGAAACGATAAAAGGGAGATAAATATTCAAAGAAAGAAATAGTAACTTAGTCTTCACTTTCCAGTCTTGATCGTTCAAAAGAGCCCACACGACCTTATGGGTGATGAATTCATTGCCACCCTTTAACTGCTTTCACACAGAAGAAACGTTGCAAACCTCTCGCTAATCTATCGTTATTTCCATGGCAAATGTTCATAATTTATTTTCACCTTCACAGCTAAACCCCGCTATGCCATGTTTACTTCATTACTTGAATTCCATTTGTAAGAAGGAAGTTCCACATGGACAGCTTCTTCCTACGAACCGCTGTTTTGTAGAAAACACTTACTAGAGAATGTTTTGACCGTCACTGTCACCATAACCTTTTTAAATCTAAGGTTAACTGTTATATTTTCCACAGTGGTAATAAAATAAGAACATTCCATCGCCCCTTTCGCTTATAACTACACATCAAATTGAAATAAACGTTTTTCAACACTAAAGCAGAATGAATCAAATAAAGCTTCATAAGCTTCTACTTGGAGTTGTTGCTATATTACACCCACGTAACCTCAAAAACTAGTTTTTATCGTTTACAGTTACCGCTCACACAACAACCTTCTTTATATACAGTCTACCTTGAGTGGTTATCTGGCTTTGTATGCAGTAAACATAAGAAAAAAAAAATGAAAATACAAAATAAATTAACATTTTTTTAGTTGGGGAATTTACCCACAATGCCATTTGCATAATGATTTCATTGTATCTGCATCACTAGTTTTCTCTCGTAATAGTTTGCGCATAGTTTCAGAATTTACGTCACTTCCGCTTTCGTTACTTAGAGGAAAAGGCTTTAAATATATAAAATCACTTCCAAGAAGAAGAAGAAGAAGAAGAAGGAGGAGGAGGAGGAGGAGAAGAAGGAGAAGAAGATGAAGAAGAAGAAGTATAGTAGTAGTTTAATTGGATTTTATTTTCTTTTTAACGTGAATTCCATTTAAAGTCATATCACCTTTGCATTCTGTCAGAAGTCGCCATTCCTTTCTAATGTCACTGATTTGATAGAAACTCGTATCGATATCATGTTGCCTGATAGTAAAATCGATGACATTTAATATTCTTTTCTGTGTCGTTTATCCTGGTCTTAATATATTTTTCATAATATAAACTATATGTCAAAGGTTCGAGGCCAAACTCTGGATTTGAGACGGCCTTTACATTTCAGGTAAACTTGTCTCTAAAAGATTAGACAACATACATTTCTTTCTTCTTTCTACGTGCCGTGTCCTTTCAGATTGTAGGCGATCATGGCTCTCCACCTCCCTCTATCCCTTGCAGCTCTCAACAACTTCCTTCTCTCTGCCACCTCTCCCAGACCACGTTCTGTCATTCAGTTGCTTAAGGCCGCTAGGTAAGTCATGCGTTGTTTTCCTTTGTCTCTTTTTCCCTCTATTCGATCTGTGAGTATCAGATTCTCGAGGCCCTTCTTCCGTATTATGTGTCCCAGAAACTTCAGCTGCCTCTTCCTGATGTTAAAACCTCCACTCTGTTTGTACCCTGTCTAAGACCTCATCGTAGTTCACACGCTCGGTACTTAACATCCTTCTGTAATGGGTTAAACTGTTTCCGTATCCTAGCTTAATAGGTGTTAATTAAAACAAAGTAAATATGAATTTTATCTGGAATAATGTTCCCAAGAAAATCCGTCAGCAATGGATGAAGGCCAAATATTCTTGACGTTTCAACTTTCCTGAAGACTTACTCATTATTTACATATTCTCTCCATGGCAATCTCAGCATTCGTTGGTTGAAACATATTTCTTTCACCCTCAAGTCTGTTCTGTTACTGTTTTTTAGGTATTCTGTACTAGTGAGCCAACCAAAATGAGCTGATTCATTTTATAGTTCACCAATAGAAGGGTTAACCAATCAGAACGCTCAAAATATTCAATCCGACGTGTATTAAGGCAGCCATTTGGTTTTTTTCTCCCAAAATATCTCCACTGCCAACCTGATATTGAAGAGATTACGGATTCACTGGATTCCATTTTCAGAGACTACGGCAAACATGGTCAACATGTTCCACATCTGTGTAGTAATTATCCAAATAAGGATTTTTAGATATTACCTAGCGGTTTAGCATTCTTATTTCTAACACCATTTGAATATTTCTTGTTACTTTGAGTAGTTTCTGGAAGATAGATTTCGCTATTCTTATATGCCTTTCTACACAGCCCAGATATGGTTAACTTTCGGTAACGTTGGGATTTTGCCGTCCCGAATATGTAATTCGCAATTTCAGTTGTCTCTTTTGCTGACAACCCTGGATTCTGTTTTCTTAGAAATAATTGTCATGCTCACATTTAGTAGCTTATCTAATAATTTTGAAGTTGCTTTTCGGAAATCGCAATCATCACAGTGTCACCTGTATCACCTTGTTAGTCCACTGATAATATAATTTGCTACAGATTTTGGTTACCTTAGGACAGTCATATTTTATGACTAGCATAAGTCAGGTGAGGATGTGGGCCTTACACCTATTTCTATATATATAAAGTGAATATTGAAGTCAACACTCAGAGGCGTCAGATGAAGCCTGAGGATGGCATTTAGCATGAAACAGTCTGTCGCCTCTCAGTGTTGACTTCAATGTTCACTTTTATATTTATATTTACATACGTTCTATCTCTGCATTTCATCCCATAAATATAGGTCAACGTAAAACTATATTTCTTATATATATATATATATATATATATATATATATATATGTGTGTGTGTGTGTGTGTGTTTATTTTATGATATTACATAAAAACATGTAAAAAAGCTACACAAATGCGATCATGTTTCGATGCGTAATGACGCATCTCATCAGGTATTACTATTGAGCCCTCTTTTTAAAATGAATGTTACGAACGTCGGAATTGGACACTATTCGTCTCATTTTACACACACACACACACACACACACACATATATATATATATATATATATATATATATATATATATATATATATATATATTATTTGATGGTTAGGGGAATAATACTAAAAGAATATAAATCCAAAGAGCGCTCAATGTAAGAAGAGCGCAAATATAATAATGATGAAACAAGGTCTTTAGAAATCCATGGTAATAATTTATTTCACGGGATCTGACGGACATCGTCTCTTCAGACCCCCCCCCAATTTTTTGCTTGTGTCTGGATAAATTTAAAATTCACTGATTGTTTGATAATTGTTTGGTCTGAAGAGACGTGGTCCGTTTGATCACGTGAAATAAATTATTACTATGGATTTATATATATATATATATATATATATATATATATATATATATGTGTGTGTGTGTGTATAGTTTTAATTCATTTTTTTTAACCGTTATATAAAAAATGAAAAATAACAATCTGTCGGATTTCCTCCATTTCAGATATATATATATATATATATATATATATATATTCAAAAATAACTTTTAATAATTATCTGCTACCCCAAGGCTAAAAGTAATGGAAGCCTTATTAATAAAAACAAAAAAAAACAACACTTAATAATATTAACTTTGAACATGGACACAATATCTTGACCGTGTTTTGAAAAATGAAAACATTTTATAAAACATACATACAACAAACTATTTCTTATTTAGCAGTTAAAATATTTAATCCTTGAAAATTGCTAAATGTATAACCTAAATGTATATATGTATATGTAAATATAATATATCGCGCATATAGTGCTTGTGGTGAGTGATAATTTGTATATATATATATATATATATATATATATATATATATATATATATATATATATATATGTGTGTGTGTGTGTGTGTGTGTGAGTGCGTGAAAGTGATCAGTCTTCAAAAATGTTGAGCACTTTTACTGTTAATTTATACCTTTCATGGATAATATATATATATATATATATATATATATATATATATATATATATATATATATATATATATATGTATATATATATATATATATATATATATATGTATGTATTTTTATATCTGCATGTATATATATATATATATATTTATGTATATATAAATGTGCATATATATTTGTATATATATTTATTTTGTGTATATATCTGAATATATATACTTATGTGTATTTATGTATATACGTATATGTCTATATATATGTATATATGTACATAGAATAATATATATATATATATATATATATATATATATATATATATATATATATATGTGTGTGTGTGATAGTTTTGTCACTTAACTGATTGATGCGCCTTTCAGCATCTCTCTCTTCCAGATTTTCGTAGGCGTACCTGCCGTCCTCTTTTCAGGGGTGTCAGCAATTTACTGCTTATATTTATTCCTTTTTATACTTATATATAACGTTGGTATAAG